GCTATTGAATTGTTTAGAACTGCTAGATTGCTGATTCTATGGATTGATTTGGATTGTTGAATTGTTATTGGTTTATTGGCTTTATTGGTTATTAGATTGATCGTTGAATTGACTTGGTTTGATTATGATTTCCGCTGGTTTGATGTTTAATTGATGATGGTTGTTGAAATGATTGGATATTGAGAATTAATGTTTATGGAAACATTAATTCGAGTCCAATGTTAAATGTATTAAAAACAAAAAAAAAACGGGCCCGATCGTTTCAGCTACTTCAAAGGCCACTCCTAACATCAAACTACTAAACTCGGTAAACATACTAAATATGGATAAGAATTATGGATATACATAACCTGACTCAAAAAAGTTCTTTATTGTCTCTGTAAAAATGCAAATAGATAACAAAATCATTCTCTCATCAAAATTGACAGTGGAAGAGCCTGTAAAGGTGTTAGAAGAGTATGTAAATGATTAAATAGGAGGACTAATCGATTAAACATATACAAATTTTTATATATTTAAATGTGTATGATAAAACATATGATTTTTAATAACTATAAACGTAGAAAATTGAATATGGTGCATAAATATAATAAAGTTGAATAATTTTGATCAATCATAATTCATATGTTAAGGCCACTAGTTTTGATATTTTATCTGTAAAATTGATCAAAACATATGCAAATATTATTTATTTTAATATCTTGTAAGTGTAAAATTGGTTTTCATTATTCGTGTAAATTATATAGAATACGAAAAAATCAGATAAATTTAAGATATATATGAACTTATCGGACATAACAAACGAAAAACAATATATGTGTAATAAACTACATCATAATAAAAATATTTGAATAATATACTAATCTAAATACATATATACATAATAGATAATATTGATATAAATATAATAATTAAAAGCTTGTTAATATATTAGAAAAATAAAATAAAATAGATGTATGGTAAATCTAAAATAATGCATTTAGTTAGGCTTAAATTTGTAAAATATGTAAAAATAATAAAAATATGTTTTGATTGGATAATTAACTTAATTTAATTGATGTGCCCTTTAAAACTCTTATTGAGTGACAGATAAGATTTTTCACCAAATCTCTCCTCAATTAATATATAGAGAATATTAATTTTTTGAGTATCATTGAGCCTAATTCGCCTAAATTTTATCAAGAGCCTTAATAGATGAAAAGACAACTGTTTGTATATTATGTGATGCGTATTTCCCCCTCTACAAATACTACTAAAACAATTTCCACCTAGACTTTTTATCTCTTTATTTTACTACACGAACTATGTAAATCGACCTAAAAACTACACGAACTAATTTTCTCCCCGAAATTCACCAAATGAAATTGGTTAAGCTTAAATCGTTAATCAAACCGTAACTATGGTTAAGTAAATCGTAATTGGGTTTTGAAATTTTTGATTTATGAACAGAAATAGAGTTTTAATATTATTTTTATGTCTTATATTAATAAATTGAAAAAAAAATAGAAAAAAGCTTTTTTTAACTCGCCTTCTCTCTTCTCCGCCATTGATAAGATCTTGAAGTTACAGAGAAAGAAAAAATCAAGAAGATGGGTTGTGCACAATCAAAGTTCGAGAACGAAGAATCAGTAGCTCGTTGTAAAGATGCAATAACACCGGAGCTGCTCTTTTCGATTACTCTCAAGGCGATTTTTTAGACTCCGGTGACCACTTTTCCTCCTCTGTCACCGTTGAATTTCACCGTCGTTTCTTCTTCATCACGACGATGAAGATGATTCTAAATTGGAAATTCATGATCGTTTGATTGGGAAATCAAGAAGTCGTGGTGGTAGTAATCGAGGTCGGAAAATGATTGATGAACATGAAGAAGAAGTTCAGCCTCCTCCATAGGCGAATTCACGAAGACGAACTCTATTTTTTTTCTTCCAATTTTGTTTCTGTTTTTTT